ACACATCTCTCTGCCCGTGCTTTGTCCATATCACATGAGATCAGACTCTCAATCCGACTTTTCAAATTTCCAATATGTTCCACACCAATGTCAATGTTAACATTAGCGATCATGGATTGTATTGCCTTCCTTTCTATGCTTTCGGGATCATTTATTGCACAAACATATATTTGTGAAGTGGACAGCTTTTCTATGTTGCCTGCAATTTCGTGTTTCACCACATCATCAGCCAGAACATCCTCTGTCAATTGTTTTACTGTGCCACTATCTTTGGAAACCAGATTCAAGAAAGTCGTAACAACTGGAAAAACTTGTTTGAGTTGACGAGAGTAGGGAATAACTGAGTCGAGATAATTAGTTAGTGAAAACAGGAAAGATATTGATGATTTCATAAAATCGCCTTTGCTCCTGTATTCTGCAACCATAGACCACAAACATCCCATTAGTGCATCAACTTTTTCCGTGACACCCTCTCCGGAAGCCATTTCCCGCTCAAACTTTGAAGTATCCACACCATTTTCACGAAGAAATGCATTCAAGTCTTTCAAATGACTTTTCCAATTATTTATATTCATTGCAGATGTCGTTTCCATGTCGATTTTCTGTATGACTGATTCTGAAATTGACATTGACAATGTATATATATATAGTGTTAAAACATTGCTGTGACATCATTCCTTTATTCTTGCAGTCTAAAAATTTACCTGTGCCTGTCCGATATTAGTGAGCAGTCTGATATTAATCGTAATATCAGGCTGTCTCAGTACTGATATCCTTCAAAATCGGACTGCTACAGAATAAAAGAAAAATAATGCAATTATTTAACAATTGAAACAGTAAACTTTAATATGTTAAATATGTACGCAATGCATATTTTGAAACTGTGAATAATTATGCATGACAAAAGGAGAATGAAAACCTTTTCATTTAATCAGAATAACAGTCTTGACTGTAATTAGAAATTAATGTCAATGGTAACACACTTTTCTGCAGCTTTCACATGTACACTTCTCCCAGTCGAGTTCCCCTTGGAAGTGGACACAAAATCACAAAAAGAAGAAGACATAGCATCACACGACGTAGACACATCACAAGGGAATGTAGATGTAGAAGACGAAGGTTTCATATTCTTCGACTTCAGAATGCTGTCAACGGCTTTAAGTTGATCATCCGATGTTCTCTTATATCCACGAAGTGCCAGTGAACGATGGCCAGTTTTTTTCCGAGATTAACTGTTCTTCAATTCCTGCCGAATAGAGACGTGTGGCAGCCGTGGCACGGAGAGAATTGTTGGTAAAGTAGCCAGTAAATCCTGCATCTTTGCAAAGACTCGCAACAGTATTTTTAAGAGGATGAATTCCAACAGGAACATCATTAAACCATAATGCATCGGTCGGATATTTTTTTAGCCTTAAATAAAAGGCATCCGTTTTCCCACTTTCTGGACACAATGACACATATTTTTTGTACAAATTAACAACACATTACTCAGGATTTTCAAAATCTTCATACACTCGCACACACTTAGGATCCTGGGGCCCGTTTTACAAAAGAACTTACGACTAGTACTGAGACCAAAAACTTCAGATTATTGTACAAGTTTGCAAAATTAACAATTCTCTTAAAAATTATCAGTGTAAAAATGTCTTATCACATTTCTTTTAAAAAGAATAAAATAATTTTCGATATAATGTTTATTAAAAAGTTATATGAAGAAAGGTTTTGGTCTTAAGTCGTAAGTCCTTTTGTAAAACGGGCCCCAGCTACCTTGAGTTTAACCCCACGGAATTGGTCTTGACACGTCCTCTGTGTACAATAAATAACGGGCGCCGTCGCTGTCCTTCACTTCTAGCTGTGACCTGGTCCCTCTTCGCAAGTTTCGATGTTTCTGCCCGTAATGCAAAATTTAATCCGAAAGAAAAAACTAATGTGTCCAACAATTTGGCTGGCGTATCGGAGCCAAGTAAACCTTTCTCCCATAACATATTCTCTTGGTCGACACTAATGATTTCGGCTTTTCTGCGGGAACTCCCTAAGCCTGTTTTAGCCACTTCCTTCATCCGTGCATCAAGGACTTGTCTCATATTACGGAATTCATTATCATCGAGAAAACTGACAAATTTGCCATTTTGACGTAGAAAGTGTTGAATTGATGTTATAATCTCATAGAGAGTGTTTGGGCGGTAATGTTTCCCTGTTTTGTTTCTAACTTCCGTGATGAAGCCTCATAGGAATTGATTTAGGGTCATATTGTCCATAGACAAAATAGGTTCCTCAATATTTCTTGTTTTCGCCCATTCTCTCGGTATTCTGAGGAACGGCACTTTTGATAAGATTGTTCATGTCAGTCTCTGAAAGCGGGTCTGCAAACCGAGAATTGCCCTGCATAGTTGCATCGTCGATATTTTTGATGGGTTTTCAAAGTTTAAATCAAAGTTCACAGCAGTACTAGTATTTTCCTTCTCCATCCCTAGAATATCACTTATGAGATTATCGGTATCATAATCTGATCCATTGCTTTCAGGTTTTAATTTGTTTTGAGTAAAGAATATTTCGTCCCCACTCTCCATTTTAAACAGCTCTGTTCACTCCAACTATCCAATACAAAATAGCTGATTCCTAACACTCTCAGTCAGAGAATTAGTGAGTAGTTTTCATTCAAGTCTAAATTCTATTGTTATAATATCAGACTGTCTCAGGTAAATCAACAAATGAAAATAAAGGGTCTAGTATCAGTGAGTAGTTTTCATTCTGGAATGATTCAATGGCCATAAATACTTTTGTTTTAATATCAGACTGTCTCAGGTAAATGAAAAGAAATGTAAAGAGCAATGTTTTAAGTACGATATATGCCTCATACAATTCTGTATGAAAAAATATCAGACAGTTTTCGGCCCTAACGGGCCTCAAACTGTCTGATATTTTTCATACAGAACTGTATTCGGCATATATCCAGTAGGTATATATTTTCGAAAACATTCATTTTGAAAATAAGCATTTTGACGGAAGTATACAAAGAATACGGTAGGTAATTAATGAAAACTGCATTTGAAATGCACTGTCCTTAGAAAAGTACAATGTTAGATACTATTTTCAAAAATTAAATAGATGATTTATAAAAAAATGATTTACATTATTTGTTTCTATACATGATAGTAAATGTGTTTTCATTTTCTGAAAAAAAAGTAATGCATAAAACTAAAAACTAATAACTTACATTCTGTGTTTTCTCCTTGTAGCCTTATAAGCTGTCGATTTCTGATGAAATGTTTCAAACTACCTGGTAATTGTGATACACATGTATAAAACATAAAACTAATTGTAATATATAAACCTTCACGAATAACCCTGGAAAATGGGGAATATTTCAGTTATCTTGTAGATCACGTCTTTTTGGTTGTAACTGACAATACATGAATGAAGTTACAATTAAGGAGTCTTCAATAGATTTAAAGAGACACATCAAAAGGAATAATTAGCATTGTATAAATTGCAATATGACAGTCAAAATAAGACTCAACGCGATATATTGTACTTGCAATCAAGACCTTAAAACGATCATCACTTGCTAAATTCTGACTTCAAACGAGAATTAAGTTTGAAAACCACATAAAATTTATAAAATTTAAAATCTTCTATTGAAAAAATTGATCAAACTCAAAGCATTTTCCTGAATACATAATGGAAGCTATTGAGATTATTGGCGAATTTATTTACTTGGGAATGCTTTTGAATTATAATGGAAAATTTAATGTTACACAGAAGCAACTATGTACACAAGGAAGAAAGGCTATGTTCTCTTTAGAAGCTAAAGCAAGTAAAATGTATTTGAATACAGAGACATTGTTGTCTAGTGTTTTAAACTATGGATGTGAACTGTGGGGTTTTCATAATGCAAAAGATATAGAAAGTGTGCATTTGCAATATTTAAAATATGCTCTAGGTGTAAGTAAAATACAAACTCTGTAATGAATTATTATGAAACTGGGAGATTCCCATTGAAGGTAGTTTTAAGCATTTGATCAACGAAGTTGCCATTATTATTTTTTGTTTCAAACAATGGATTTAGAGCATTTTTATCTACATACTACATAGTACATATATTATTCTGGGTATTGCATGCTCAGTCTTTTTTCTTATAGCAGCGGTACTATTCCAGAGACTTTTCTTCCTGTTAATTTTATCTTTCGTTTTACACATGTTAAAGTCGATATACTAGTTTATACAAGTTTTCTGAATAATATTACCCAAGTGTGAAGAGTTATCGTTCTATGAACAAATATGCATGATACAAAAAAAATAAAAATATGGCAGTTTTCTATAATTTTTAAAAAGTTTTATCATACAATTAAATACATTGACCAAAATTAAATTTTTAAAGATATAAATCAGCAATTTTAATTATTCTGAATTTCTTTTTTCTCAAAGAATATTATTAAAAATTTATTTTTATTCCTTTTACGAAAAGTTTCATATATATACTTCTCAGCACGCTATACAAGTGTAATAGAGGTTGTTCTACAGGAATTTGATAGAGCAATTGCTCTCATAGCAGAAGCAATTGCATCTACTGTCCTATGAACGCAATTGATGACCACATGTTCATAGTGGGAGAGAGCAGTGGATATGCAAATATATGGAGATAACGAACAGTAATCCAGATCAAAAGCCCATAAAACAATACAAAATAGGAACAAAGCAAACACGGACCTCCAAAACATCAGAGGTGGGATCAAGTGACATGGAGGAGTAAGCATCCCCTGCCGACTGGTCAAATCCGCTGTGTGCTCCTTGTATTGAACGGGAAATGATGGAAAACTTTGTCGTCACTTCAATGTATACCGGTAAATAATAAACTAAAAAAATTCGTATGAAAAAAACGTCAGTCAGCATTTGACTTAATGATAAATTGTATTAGCTAACAAGGTCATTGTATCGACCATAGAACTTACAAAATGATGACTTTAAACGAGACTGATGATATTCTTGTATGATCAACTTGTGTGTCAATAATTTACCTCGTTTTAGAAATTTTTCATACAGTATATTGCTTCATATAAGTAAGGGAAGTTGATGATAGAAAAGTTAAATTCATCACGAATATCATAGAGCTTGGTTGTTAGATTGCCATTAACATCTTTTTCAAGTAAAATATCCAAATATGAAACTGATGTGCCAGACTCTGTAGTATCTTTTATCTCCAGCTCACCAGGATATATCTTGTCGACATGAGAATGGAAAATACGTTGTCGATATATCTAAATGTTGAAGGCCACAGCAAGTGTTATCTTCATTTCATGCATAATATTTTGCACAAATCCTGCTTCATATGAATACTAGTACAAAAATAGCTCTGCTAATAACGGAGCGCAATTGGGGATTCCAATAGATTGTTGGAAGACCTGGTCTCCAAAAACCACATAGATATTGTCAATCATAAACCCAAGCATCTTTTTGATGTCGGCTTCAGAGTAATTGCGTGTACAATCAGAATATTTTTAACAAAATAATTTTGCAAATGACCAATGACAAAATAAGTAAATTTACAAATTCCATTTTTATTTAAGAAGCAGCTGGTTTGAACGTATTTTATTGTATTTTAAAATAATATACAAATGGTTTGAACACAAGTTCTAACAACTTAAGAGGTCCTCACCATAAAATGTTACAACTGCCAATGTCTATACATGGAAGAAAATGGAAAGAAAAATATTGATATACAAACATGTTTGTTTAGAAAACACATTCGTTACACATAATAAATATATATTTACATTCAGTGTAATTTTCCTTAAGAAATCCATTAGAAATCCACGACGTTCAAATTTCTATAACACACGCGAAATCTTGTCACCCCGCGTTAGAATACACAGCAGGAACTTTAAGCATTTTCAATACTCTAGAGACACCAAAATGTAAAATGTTTTATTTCATTTTAATGAAAAACTATAACGTAAAAATTAACGTAATGTGCGTCAAGAATTAATTTATTTCTTTTATCCTCGCAATGTTTGTTTGCGTTATTTAACTTTGGTACGTCATTT